CTAAAATGTATTGTTGGCCATTTTTATATATATATATATATATATATATATATATATATATATATATATATATATATATATATATATATATTATTTTTATTATAAAAATGTATTTTTATACTTTCATAGGGTTCTGTTTTTGCTTAGGTGTTCACTATTTGCCCATAGCTGGGGCCTTAACAGGTACTACCATTCTGGTACAGGGTGGATCTGGAAACAACAGCAATTAAGAGGTGGCTTCATGCTCCTCAAAACCTCCAATCTTACAATCAGAGACCTTGCTGCCAGATGTAGTTTATCATCATCTCCAGGACTATACATTTTTGTATTTCAATGTACCATATAATTTCTTTGTTCTTAAAACCAACTCTCACTAGTTTTTAACTATCTACTGTACTTTATATATTATTTTATTTTTAAGCCACCACTATCAACATCTCAGACAGAACTTTAAAGTGCATTTGTGTATATGTGTGATTAGATGTAAGACATTAACAAATGGTTGGTATCTCTTTTTACGGATGCTTTAATTGGTGGATAAATTTATCAAATTAAGTATGATAAAAATGCTTTTCCTGAAAAAGCAGTCATACTTATTTCAATTTTTTTGTAAATTAATCATTTTAGCAACTAGTATCAGTACAGTAAAGTACTGTAGACAAATCAACAAAAACATCAGATTTGTATTACAGTATATCTTTTATATGTTTCATTTGTCTTTGTATTTGAAAGAAAAAAAGATAAAATATGAACTTTACAATGTAATGAACTTTAGAAATAAACTTGAAAATAGTATTTAAATCTGAAATACCAACTTTGATAACAATTGAACAATCAAAATGTTATTGAAACAGGATATCTCTTAATTAATAATGTAAACTTTTGGTTGTTAGTTATATAAATTATTTATGGTGACCTATAAGTATTTACAAATTAAGAACGTGATATTTCTTTTTTTTTTTTTTTAAATTCTTTCTCTTGTCTTTCACTGCTTTCGTGCTGACATTTCAGCCTCTATAATTCAGTTCAGTCTTTTTGTGTTTCTCTACAGATAATGTAAATAGGCTGAAATGTAACAAGGAACCAATAAAAAGAGAAACCTCAAAAGCAAATGAATTTGTTTAAATAAAGAAATAAACTTAGAACAATACCTTATCTAAAAACAGATGAAATATAATTATATGAAATATAATGATAGTTTCAAAAAAATTACTTTTACATTATTTATTTATTTATTTTTTCAAGAAAAACGTTTATATATCTTTAATTTGGTAATTAATAAAAATTTACTTAAATAAAACCAATTTAGATGATTTTATAAGGATTAAACTTTTCTAACTTGGATGGTTCTAATCAAAATTTTATTCATCAGCTTACAGTACAAGTTTCCTATATACTTCATATAGGGAAGTACAATGGGGTAATGGATAGTGGCTCAGATTGAAGAATTGGAGAGCTGAGTTCAAATTTCAGTCGAATCTATTACGTTCACTTACGTGCTAATACCTTTGGGAAAGATATGAATCCTCTTCTTTCCTCAGCTATGGGTAAATAGCAGGACAGACCGGGTTCTATAGCCTTGGATGGCAACTGGTTTACTTGCTGAAAGAAATGGTAACCTACTGAGGGAAAAAATCTGCCTCATCAGGCATGTATCAAAAAGATACATGATTGCCTAAGCATGTATCACATATGGCACATAACTAACTAACTGACTGACTGATATACTTCGTAATTGATATGTGGCACACACTTGTAATATACGACAATAATAGATACTAAGGTTACCAATTCATTTTTGCTACATATGAGAAATTATTTATTTTTTCACCAGTTCCATTTTTACTGTGGTATACATTTAAGTATGAGAGGTAATCTGGTATATTTTTTTTTATTAATAATGTTGGCATAATTCTATTTAGGTTTTCAAGCCCCTTGTATGACTTGAGTTATACTAGCCAAATAAACAGACTTCTCATCTGTACAGAAAGGATACCTGACCACTAGTAATAAGATTGATATAGTGTTTTTTTTGTCTTCATTATTATTGAAGACAAGTGATTGAACATTTACAGAAAGATTACAAAAAGAAAGACATTGTAACTCATGTTTCAATAAATAATCCTGTTTTAAATCAAATATTTCTTCTGGTATTATCTGTCACATTCATAAATATATTTTATTATTGGTCAGCAATTATTTACAAATAATCACCATTTATTTACTATTTAATTTAGAGTAAAAAAAAATATTCACAAAAAAAAAAAAAAGATAATTTAATTATATATTATCAAATTTATTTTTGTTGTGACCAGTTAAGTAGTTTGCAGTACAGTACAAGAGAATAGTCAGTACTAATGCACTTGCTAGATAACCATGGCTACTACTTTTCTTTAGGGCATCTATCCATACTGTAGTAGTTAACCTACTCTACTTATAAAATAGCCTTTTCTTTATTTAGGAGACAAAAGTTCATTGGCATTGTAGGAGATAAGTAAATTTAATTTTTAATTTGAAAGGAGATAAGTAAATTTAATTTTTTATTTTTTATTTGAATTCAATATGTTAATACAAAGATTTTGAAAAGTTATCAACCAAGAAGATATTACAAAAACAATATTTTGGCAAGTGGGCAGGGCTGAAAACCCAATTGTAGACGAGTTGATCGATAATCAATGTCTCCAATCCTATAGAACAAGTTTGAGACCAGATAGAATAATGAAACTGGTATCAAAATGAAGGAAATTTATTTCTCTTTAAAATTATGAGGGTTGATTGATAAGTAAGGTCTCCAATCCTATAGAACAAGTTTGGGACTAGATAGAATAATGAAACTGGTATCAAAATGAAGGAAATCTATTTCTCTTTAAAATTACGAGGGCTGATTGATAAGTAAGGTCTCCAATTCTGTAAAACATGTTTTAGACCAGAAAGAATAATGAAACTGATATCAAAATGAAGGTAATTTATTTCTCTTCAAAATCATGAGGATTATTTTTCAACATAATTAATTCTACACATTTTTCTCAATGTTCTCTCCTTCATTCCATACATGAATTCAGTTTCTGGCACACCAGTTCAACTTCAACATTGGCTGAACAACATTGACCTTTCGAAGCCTTTTAGGAAGGACCAGAAATCAGATGAAGTGAAAGTGGGGCTAAAAAGAAAAAAAAGCAGGTTTGCTTTTATTGTGTGGATGTATTTAGTGTTTATGTTTTCACAATACCATATTCCCTGTCATTCCCTGTGGTAGAAATTCCATGCCAGTAACACTTTGTGTCATGAAGAATTTTGAGCATCTTATGTTGAAGGAACCATTTTTGAATATCTTTACTATTGGAGAATCTGGAGGATGATATTCTTTATATTGTTTTTTGTTTTCAGGTACATAATCATGAATGCAAAATCAATCTACACTCACAAATTCCATCAGTGATTGTGGCTTTTTATGTCTCTCGGGCATGATGCTCATGACTGATGGACACTAATACTCAATGCCATCTCACAACAAATTGATACAAAGCAAGTTTGAACAGGTCTTTACACCAGACCAAATACATGTTTGTATCTCCATCATGAGGTTGGAGACTTTAGGTAGCAAATAATCCCTCTACTTGTTCATTATATCTGCATATTTGCAGCATGTGTATTTATGACAAGGTTCTTAAATGCTATAGAAATACATTTCTGTTCACTTATTAAAACATTTGTAAGTATGCTAGATAATATTTTTCTTCCTGTAATGACTTGCTGAAAGTTCTTTTGAAAAGAATGAGGGAATTATGACAGATGGTCTCTTCTGCTCTTGCACATAGTCTTTTGTCTTTTTATAACCGGTTTTGTTATTGCTTTTGGTTTTATACTATTTTATCTTTTCATGAATCCATTTTTTTATTTTTAGCTAGAAACTTAATTCACTTTCTATCAATTTTATTATATTTCATTGAGTGATATTTAAAGAATTGAATCTTGCAGTGAATGTTCTTTTGTTTTTCATAAATGCTTAATTTATGATGTTAATCATTTACTGCAGAAATTAATGAAATGGTTATATAGATTTTCTGGCAATGTTTAACCTTGATGCTTGCCAAAAAAAAAAATGTCAAAAGGATGGTTATTTCCTTGACACCACTATTACTGTCTAGCCTCTCAACTTGGTGCTTTCTCAATGTCATGACATGGTTTCCCTCTGTCCTTTCTACAAATATTTTCTTTATGATGATTATGCTGATGAACTGTTCTCCTTAGTGCCTTGACTGCATGAATTTAAGTAGACTACTAGATTGGCAACTAGGTCTTGCAATTTATTCATAAATTTATGAAGGTATCTGTGAACAAAAAAATTTAAATAAACACACAGTGATGAGTAATTATAATTTAGAAATTTAAGAAAAAAAATGCATCTTCTGGGCATTTTTTTTCATTTGCTCTTGTCACATAAGCTCACTAAAATTAGTTGAGAGCATCTCTTTCTCTGAACCAAACATTCTTTTAATTTCAGATTTTCAGTGAGAAATACAAACACTCAATATTTTCAGTGTGTATTTCACTATTCATTGGGTGAACAAGGTTTTCCTTGTGTATAATTACAGAATTTCTGTAATATTTACTGCAAATATTGCATAGTAGTTGGTTTACATATTTTTGCTAATTTTGTAATTTAAATAAATTTTTGAGCAAAAAGATTTTTCAAATTTATTTCTTTATAAAATGGTAAATCATAGATCTTTTATAAAAGGTAAATAATAAATATTGCAGTTTACCTGGTTCACATATTTTTATAATCTTGTAAATAAACATTGCCGAGGGAGTCAAAAGTGTATATAGTCATACTGGTGTCATGGGAATAACTATTCTTTTGAACACCATTTTTTTTTTTTCACACCAAAAAAATTTGTGTAAGTGAATATAAAGAATCCAACTGGAATTTGAACCCTGCTCTCTGATTAACAATTCCGAGCCATTATCCATTTCACCACCTGTACATCCAAATTTACTGTACCTAGTATTCCCAAGTGGTCACCCATCTAGGTGCTGAACTAGCTCGATGTTGCTTAACTTCAGTGATCATACATGAACTGGTATTTCAATGTGATATGACCATAAGTCATCTTAAGGAGAAATAGTTAGGTTTACTCAATTTTTACATGATTAAGATTTTCCTTCAGTTGGAAGTTGGTTTAGAATCATGATCAGAAATTAATTTTATGATAATTCATTTTGGTGTTCCATTCTTCTGTGAAATGTGAATGTTTTACCCTTGTGATTTACACAAACCCATTTTTTTCTGATGTTGGAATTGCGAGATTGATTTTTGACTCTTGGAATTATGAACCTCCCTATTGCTAGTATTTACCTCGTGTCTCAATGTTTTGAAAATAAAGATGACTAATGTAAAAAGAAGAAAAAAGTTTTTTTTCTGAAAAACTTTAAATAATGACCTGGATCTCTTTGGTAACAGAACTAAGACATATACCAACTATCAGAGAGAATTATCTTTGGAAACATCTTTGTGAATTTTGAGTAACATAATGAAAATCTTATTAGCCTAGTGATATCCCTGACTTTGATAACATCTTATATAAACTGAAAACCATGCTCCACAGACTGTTGCCTTAGTTTCTATGCTTTAAAAATATCAAGCAGAAAAATAAAGAATAAAAGCACAAAACAATTATGGTTGAAAAGTTTGTGGAGAAATTCTATCTGTTTTATCTCCATTGCTTATAAATGTCTTCATGCTAAATTACTGCTTTTTCTTTTTATAGGATGATAGATTTTGTGTTTACTTCTCTTTTAAATACTGATTAAAGTTTTACTATATATCTTTGTAAGTGCATATGTAGCATTAAAGCTCTCCAGTTTGATATATTATACAGGGGGAGGCAAAAGTCGTGCACCATTGGGATAATTTATTAAAAATAGAATTACACATTAAAATTTTGTTTACTACTTCTTTGTTATATGCGCTGTTCAAAATGTCCTCCCTCTTTTTCAAAACCCATTTCAATTCTGTGCTTGCAGGAATGTCACTTTCTGCTGTCATTTTACTGCATTCATATTTAATTATTTAAGTTCCTCAATATTTTTTGGGAGTCTGATAAAAAATTGGATTTCAAATGGTGCCACAGAAAAAAAAATCCAAGAGTGTGAGGTCTGGTGACCTCAGTGGCTGTTCAAATGGACACCTTTGACCTAGCCATTAAGTCCCGTGGTGCATGACTTTTGTCTCACCCCTTATATCAGATTCTAATGGAATTTTTTCAAACTGATATGTTTACTTTTTTTTTTTCTTGTGAATATCTCCCCTCTAGAGGTTTAGTATACATAGTTTCTCAAATTTCATAACTAATTTTTTCATGGCAAATTTTTTTATTTATATCTGTATGATCAATGGACTGATTGCCATTGTCTACATGACAATATAAAGACTATTGGTATTGTCAACATTTTTTATATGTTATGATCCATAAATACTACAAACATTTGTTTTTTCTTAAGGTTAGTTAATTAGCTTTTTGATAGATTCATTCAGACTCTCTTGTGTGTGTTTATCTTTATTGGAAGTGAATAAGCGGCCTGTACATTGAAGAGGTTTATTTTCAGCTTTGCTCTTCTGCTTATCTCTCTATTCTTTTACTATTTGATAGAAATATACAGGAACTTTGTCAGTTCTTCACCCTTTTCAGAATAATCAAAATGAAAGCTATCTGATTTAATGTTGTTCTTCGTGTTTGGCCAACTGGTTTACTTTAACCATTTAGCATTCAACCCACCCTGTAAACACTGGCTCTCAATGTTCAACCTGCTGTAACCTGCCCCATATATGCATTTCAAATAAAGCAGGAAGTTGTGAAAACAGCGAGACTTTGAGATCCCATATTTACAGGATGGGTTTGAATGTGTTGATTGCTAAGGGGTTGCTAAATTGTCATTATTTAACCATCAGGATTTTTTCCTATCTTTCTGTCATTTTACATCATAACCTTTCAGCTAAATTGTGCATCATAGTATAATGTAACTCTCTCCATTTTGATTTCATTCATTTAAGGAATGTTTTGTTAGCACCACTGACCAGAAAGTGTTACATGGAGCTAATAAATTTGAAAGTCACATGTAGAAATATTTCTCATTCTTGTTTTATAATAGATGTGTCAAATTTGTGGCATGATGAATCCTGCAATAAAATTGCCAATTGACTTCCTAAAATGTTTTGTCTTCCAATCCATCACAGAAATGAGCCATGTGCAAATTAATTTGTTCAGGTTCCAGCAAAAATATTTTTCTTATATAACAGATTTTGTTTATATGGAGATGTTGAAGGTTGTTTTGGAACAAGTTAGGTATTTTCTTAGCCTTTTGGATTCTAATAATAAATTTACCACCAGCGACTATTTTGTTTTTAAAAAAAAAAAAATCAACTTTTCCAAGTTGATTTAGAGGGAAAAGACAACTACTAAATTGACCAATGTTCATTTCAGTAACTTCACAAAGAAGCATTTTCCATGTGTTTTCTCACCTGACCACTGACATTAAAAAAACATTGAGCATGGTCATCAACTCGGTGGTTGACTGCTTCGGAATATCAGTTGCTGTAAGCTTGGATGGATGGGTTGTGTAATGGATTGAAATTGGCGAGCCAAGTTCTAATTCTAGTCAGATTCATTATATTCGTTTATTTCCCTCTTCTACTCTCAGCTATGGGTTAAAGAGTAGTGTCAGTAAATCATTATGTCCCAAACTTTTCTTACAATTCAAAAGTATTTTGTGGTTTTAAATAACCTGCAAAAGTATGATAAGCCATAAAAAAACCAAATCAATTGATTAATTAGTGTTTTCATTTCTCTCTAAACTTGTAAACCGTGTATTAAAGTTGACTACTTATACAAGTAATAAGATTTCTCAAATATGATTAAAAAAAAATGTTATTAGCAACATTTTGCTTCAACCTCATACTTACATCTTTTTAAATTATTATATTTTTTTGTAAATCTTTACCTTGTGTCTCTGTAATAATAAAATGGTACTTGTCAAATAAAAACTATCAGAGGGCAAAATTTCTCCTAACCTATTTTTGTGAAATATCAAAGTATATTTTTTTTGAAAACTTTATTTTATTGTTAACATGTACATATGTGCATTGCTATTTACTGTTGCTGAATGGTTGTGTAAATATGGTGAGCCAAATTAACTGTGTCTCATTGTCACTTGTAATGTCCTATTAGAGATTGGGTTCCTTTCGTATTTTCATGTGTTTGTGACATTGATCTAGACTGAAGATAATCAGTTGGGATTGTCATACAAGACTAACAGTTTTACAATCTGAGATCCATTTGAAGGTTCTCATGGGACCTAGAAATCATTTTCAAGAGGAGAAAGAATTTTTTGTTTAAAGTTTGGAATAGCCTCGGCAGGCTTGACTGCCAAATTAGGAACTTGGAATATGTTGATTTGCTTCTTTTCAAAATTTCTCCAAAAGCATATTTTATACTCCTCTACAAATGATCTTTAGACTTGATGAATAACTGTACATTTCAGAAAATCAATTTCTTATGCTGTGTGCAGAAAACTGTACATTCTAGATATGTTGCACATAGGACACCTGAACTTGTTTCAGTCATGAGTTTACAGACAGCATAATAAATGCTACACCTGTAAACAGTTGTGAGATGAGTCACCCACCTATAGTGTGATTACAACCATTATCAGTTGGCATTTTTATTTTAACGGTAATTAAGAATTATTTCAATTGAGCATTAAGAAAAATAGTCCAATTGATACCTTTATATAAATCTGGGTTGTATTTTTGTTTTTTTCATTTTTTTTAAAAAGGCTATTTGTCTAGCTGAAGTTCAGACTGCTTCATTTATTTAAACATTTATTTTTTGTATATTTTGCACTGTAATTTTTTTTATTTGAAAGTTTTTTCTTTAAAATATTAATTATGCAGAAATAAAAACCTTTTCTTTTTAACAAAAATCAACAACCCTGTGTTTTGATATTAAGCCTGACCTCAATTGAGAAACCCTCCCAACCCCTACTCACGTTGCCTCTGCATTTCTATTATTAATGTTTTAACTGAAGCATTAGCACTTAGCTGTGTTCGTGTGAAATCTTTATGCTATTGATACATGAAAGACTTGAGAGTGGGGGTGTGGGTAGAAAAAGAAAAAGGTTTTTCTCATTCATAAACTTGTCAAACCCGTATTTCAAGAAGGCTGGAATTAGTGGTGAATTATATTAAATGTGTAGAAGAAATAGATTTATTTTTATCAACCTAAAAGCTAATAATCTTTAGTCTTTAAGTTTTCTGACTTTTGTTGTTTTTAGATGCCATAGTACTGAAGTTTTTCTGTGCATTTTTAAGATTTATAATATTTGAAAATCAAATTGAAAATAAGTCTCTATTTTTTTCATTTTTGGTTCCAACTTCAGTTTTTCAAACTTCTAGTCATGTGACCTGATCTTTATTTTCCCCAGTGTTTATTGAAATCATGATTAATTTTTATGTTTTCATAGATTGAGTGTAGAAAAATTTACAACCATTGTAATTATTATTATTATTTTATTTATTTATTTTTTTTTACAGTTATTTAATTCCATCAATATTGCAGATTTTATGTGTACATGACAAGAAGGTTTACAATTGTCATAGCTTTTGGAAGTTCAGGCCTTTTGGTTCCTACTAACAAGATTTGAATTAAAGCAAATCAGTTTTACATTTAGTCAAAATGGAATGGCTGCATTGAAAAGATGCCATCAGTTCTATGAATGGATATTACCATTGTTTGAACTTTGGAAAAGTCATCTCTGTAAAAACATATTTCACAAAGACATTCAGGTATGCATTATTAAAAAAAAAGTTTATAACTGAAAACCAGTTAAGTTTCAAACTGAATTTATAACACAAATGTTGTAATTATTTAAATGAAAACTATTGTCCTCAACCTTGTCTTCATTTTCCAATTGTTGTACCATCCATCATTCATCAAGTTCTTGTTGATTTGAGTAACTTTCAGGGAACTTTGAGCTGAACCCTTTATTTAATCTATAGGGCAGATTGTTCTTATTGTGCTGTCCATGTTTAGGGATATCTTGCTAGTTC